AACTCTGATGTCCGTTGAGCTGGGTTACCTCACTTCTGGTTTTCCTTCGCAATGGAGTGTATATGGGATCTAGCTCTATGTGTTTATCGATGGCTTGCTTAATGGAGAACCAGGCCTCTAGGAATTCTCGTGCCTGTCTCTGCTTCGCTTGTCCCAGGATCCTGATGTTGTCCCAATCGAATTGGTGGTTTTCCTTATCCATGTGAATGGAGATGAGTGAGTATTGGTCGTGTCTTTTTGTTGCCAGTTGATGTTTGTGTACTCTTGGAGCTAATTTCCTTCCTGTCTGTCCAGTGTAATATTTGTCACAGTCTTTTCAGGGAATCTTTATATGACATTGGTCCTGTCCATAGTGGGTAGTAGGTCTTTGGTTCAGATGATCAGTTGGCGAAGGGTTGATGTGGGTTTGTGTGCTACTCTGATGCCCAGTGGTCATAGGAGTCTTGTGGTCAGTTAAGATGTGTTCCTGATGTAAGGTAGAGTGATGAGTGTGTCGGGACTTGCAGTATCTTCCTGGTGTCGTTCATGTAATAGGCATCTTCTGGCCCAGTTTTTTTGGATATCCATTGTCTTTGAATACCTGGAAGAGGTAATCTTCTTCTTTTTGCCGTAGTTCTGTGTTGCTGCAGTGTGTTGTTGCCCATTTAAATAATGTTCTCATGCAACTTTGTTTGTGTGTGTTAGGGTGGTTGCTATTGAAATTCAGTACTTGGTCAGTGTGTGTGGCTTTCCTGTATACCTTTGTCGGGAATTCCCAATTGGTCCTGCGTTCCACCATGACATCCAGGAATGGGAGCTGTTTGTTCTTTTCCTCTTCCTTGGTGAATCTGATCCTGGTGGGGGCATTGTTTATTAGTTCGTGTGTCTCCTCTAGTTTGGTCTGTTTAGTAATGATAAAGGTGTCATCCACGTATCATACGAGTTTAAATACCAGGCGGGAAAATGCAACGGTGCTTCATCGGAGGCTGCACTGATGATGTTATCCAGCGGGGTAATGAAACGTCTGCGGAACGACGAACCAGCTCGACGAGGCAACCAACCACAACATCCACAACCCGAGCTGCAAATCTACTCTAAAACATTAGTTCCTTTGCATCGGCTGTAAGTTCATGGGACCTGGGAATTGGGGAGGTGATGGAGAGAAGGTGGGTCAGGAGTATCCATTGTCTTTGTAATACCAAGGAACACTCCTTACTCCAGCTTTCCCACCCAGGGACCCTTAGGTGTCCAAAACACATCTTGCATAGTAAGGGGGCTCTTATAAAGGTCTTTCCACCATTGTTAGAATTCAACGAGCACTGCCAGACAGTGAGGGTACCCAGTAAAATGGAAAGGCTTCTCTTCTAGCTCTGAGCTTTTATTATGTCTGTGACCCATGAAGAGTACTTCTTTCCTATCCCTCCCACCACCAGCAGTGGGAAAGGACAGAAACATTCTCCCTATCACCACCCTCCTCAAACCATCATACTCCCCACCTCACTGAGGTCTACCTCACCGTCTAAGCCTACTTAGGAAGGCATCCATGTTATGGACTGGGTAATATCTGAGCAGTAACCACCTCCCACTTTGGCAGTGCTGGAACTGTAATGCTGTCAGCAGCTTGTGGAGGCAGGATCTTCTCCCTGAAAGGCATAGAGGTCTAGTGCTCGATGACAAATGATCTGATTGTCACAGAACCAGGTCAGGCCTCAACAAGAGGGCTGAAACATTTGGTTTCTAGTATTCTAACACAACAACAGGGCTATTGCCACACTGAAAAAAGTTTAGCCTTTTTTTTGGACCATTCTTGTTGTATCATGGTCAGCCATTTTGAAGGTGCTGATCAGCATTTACTAGTTTTCTGCAGTGGGTCAATCTTCAAGTGATTGGGGATAATTTTGTAAGGCACAATAAGCCTCTAGATAAATTAACAGTCTTTAATCTCTTTCTTTTTCTGGTGTCTCATGTAATGTCCTGAACAGAGGCCCAATTCCAGGCCTATGCTGAGGTTAACCTCATCTGCATCTGGTCAGCAGTGGGCCATTCAAGAGACTCAAAGATTCAGAGATTTATTTTTCATCAAACTGTACATACGTCTTATGGCACCTCTGGAGCAGGTGGGACTTGAACAAAGGCCTCCTGGCTCAGAAACAGGGACACTGCCACTGCATCCTGAGAACCCCTGTCAAAGATTTGGAAAAAAAAAGCTGTTGAAGGTTTCCACCTGTGAATCTTGTTCAGTGGAAATTTTGTACACGTTGTAAGTGGCGAATTGGGTCCTTTCCAATTAAAAAAAAGTCATAAAATAATTATGGATGAGAAACACCATGAGATATATTTGATTCATCCATTAAGAGATATTCTAATAACCAGCCAATGAAAGCATCCAGTTGTTTCTTCAATGATTCCAGGAGCTTTGTCTTAAGAACAGTTACACAGGTTGATTGTATTTAGACAAACTTTGGAATATCTGTACTTGGAGAGTCCTTTTAAAGAAAAATCTGCTATGTCTTACACTTACAACAATATTCTGATTATCTACTGACCTTTGTCTAGTCTGAGAAGCTCAAAGGGTCTAAATTCCTTGGCATCTCAAACCAGCATGATTATGTTAGACCTCCCTATAAAAGTAATTGTATTGTTGTTTGTGTAGTAAAGCTGGAAGCAATTGATTACAAGGACCAACTGTGAAAACAAGTCGTTTGGAAGGGTATAATGACCTTGAATGGAGTATGGTGTAGATTTAATAGAATGATTCTTGAATGTTAAATAACAAGGAGAGATTACACAAGGTAAGGTTATAGAATTTAGGTGATTAAGTGCTGATCTGATCAAAGTTTTTAAGATATTAGGAAGAATAGATCAGGTAGCTCGAACAAAAATGATTTCTTTTGGATGGGAAGTCTAGGAACAGGTTGAATAATCTAAATATTAAAATAAGAGCTGGAGTGTAGTTGGGAAACCCTTCCATGTGAAAGAGGGGTAAAATTTTGGAATTCTCTTCCACTAATAGCAACTGATACTTTTGATCAATAGTTAATTGCCAAGGGTAAATGCTGAGAGGATGTTTTTCCTCAACCGAGAGTCTAGGAGCAGAGGGCATAGTCTCAGAATTAAGGGGCACCAATTGAAAACTTAGATGAGGAGAAATTTCTTCAGAGTGTCGTGCATCTTTGGAGTTCCTTGCCACAAAGAGCTGTGGGGTAGAGTCCTGTGTATATTGAAGGCTGAGATGGATAGATTCTTGATCAGTGAGGCGATCAAGGTGTACAGAGAAAATGCAGGAAAGTGGACGTGAGGAATATCAGATCAGCCTTGATCCTGTTGAACAGAGGGGCCAAATGGTCTACTCCTGTTCCAGTTTTTTATGGTTTTATGGTGTTAATTTTGAACTGAGATTGTTTGTTTAAAAATTAAAACTAGGTGTTAGGGTTATGGAGTAGGCACAAACTTGTGCATCGATTTACATCACTGATCAACCAGGATTTCCTCAGCGATAGAAAACACTCAATAGTCTAGTTCCCATATTTGTGGCAAGAGTTGTGGATTATTCATTACAAGTCCACTTTGTTTTGTACGAAAGATTATTCTATTGAAGTGCTTCATGTCAGTGAGATGTAATTTTTCTCTCCGTTCTAATTTCTGGAATTAGGATTAATACTGTTCGTTGCACAAGGCAACAATATTTTATATCAAGGTTGGTTTCAGAAAAGTAAAAGAAACTGAGTGAATTAAGATTATAAGACGATCACAGAAGCACCTGTGAATTTTCTTCTCAGTCCTGTTTATCGACTGGAAATTAAATGCAGATAGGGTTTAAATTTATGGGGACTCCCAGTGCGAAGCACTTATAAAAGATGAGTTATTTTGCAAGACTGGAAGAGCTCCTTACTTATGCAATCAAATGAAATTTCAACAGCAGACATGGCTAAAATGTTGCATGATCAGGCTAAAACAAATATAGTAGCTGAAAAATATAAGGGAAGAAAATGAGAAGGGATTTGTATCACATCACCATGTACGCTTTGGAAGTTAACACATTAAAGCTTTAACAGTAAACATCTGTTTTAGTGGGCCAAATGGTTCAATGTATTAGTATTTAATTCCCAGACTCCCCTTGTAACCCGGTGAACATGAATTCCAAATCTATTCACGTAATTCCTTATTGCTTACTACTCTCTAGGAATCATGCACATTTGACTAGATGAATAATGTTTCTGTTGTAGATCCTTTGTATGGATTTCAAGGGGAATACTGTGGATTTCCAGTGGTGGTAAAATCAGAGAACTGATTGATGAAAAGTAAATACCATCAAGCTGCAAATATATCCCACACTGGCAGCTCATTACCTCTATCCCACGCTTGGAGACATTTGTTTATGTAAGATAAATGGCTTTAGCCTACTCTTAAGGAAACAGTGTTTCTACCCTCACACAATTGTACTGTAAACTGAAAGATTTTTTTGTCCTCTATTTGTCATTAAGTCTCTTAATACTTGTAAGCCAATTATTTAGCACATAAAATATATTTTACATTTAAAACATGAGATTATTAAAACAACAGAATTTTATGACATTTGACCACACACGGAAAAACAAAATTAAGTAAAGACGAAATGTGTGCACACACGTGACTATTTTTATTAAGCAAGAATGCAGAGGAAAATAGATTTAATGCATTTCATCCCACTTGCAAAACGTTAAAGAGAAAGAAGTCAAAATGGCTGAGAGGTCAGCACACATTTAACCTTTAACAAAATAATAGCCTGCAGGAAACCAAAAACATCTTTAGAAATTCTGAACATTGTTTATTTTTCTTCTGTCAAAGATCTTAAGAATTCAGTTACAAAAAAATAAAGACGCGAGAGAAAAAGATGACCCAATTTCTCCCCCAAATACAGGAACAGCCTGTGGAAATGCCAGAGTTACTTTGCATGATGCATGTCAAAAAGCTTTTGTTTGCCTGTATTTATTTTAATTAATTTTTGTTCCCCCCTCTTTTGTGTGTTTTTCTTTCACCAGGGGAATCTCTGAGCTTTGCAGATGACCTTCTTTCAGGGTTGGGATCTTCCTGTGTCGTAGTGGGGAAAAACCATGGGGTTGCCTCGGAGACGACGACGTATTCCTTAATTTTCAAGTGCCTGGAACCAGACAGCTTTTACAAGTAAGCAAAAAACAAATAACAGACAAGCATATGCATACATGCACACAAACTCGGGTGTATGCCTGGAGGTTTTAGCACATGACCTTGTACCTCAATATACCCTACCTCACATTGTTCCCATTGGGCTGTCTCCATGTGTAATGTAGACCACACCAACTGGGAAGTGAACAGGCTTGTTGTTAAATGATTGGCTAAGCCTTGACTGTTCACCAAATCGCCTTCTTTCCCCATCTCAAATATTGTCGGAATTAATAAATATAAATGTTCAGAGAACATGCAGAGGCACAGTTTTCTTGAAAAATGCTCCATGATTTTTAAGTGGCTTGGAAACCCCCGAATGTTTCTAGAGTGTTGGCAACCTTAACACACACATTTCCAAATGGGATCTTTTAAAGAAATATTTTGGTGGTAATTCCAATCAAAATTATTGTGTGAAAATACCCACAGAAATGCTTTTGGCCATTGTGCTAAGTTGCACATAAATCTCGATTGTGAGTTACTGCAGCAAACTTCTGAAAAGAACTTGCTAATGCCAGCATTTTCCCTTTCCGTGGCTATTTTTCTGTACCAAGGAAGATGTTTTGTGGTTAGTTTGTTTTTCTTAGTATGGGAGTCTTTCAAAACTTGGCACTTAATGTTCAGTACCTCCACAAGGTGCTTTTATTCTTCCTCACTCTGACAGTTTTGGAAGTCGCACCTGAATAAATGTCAGTGTTGCACTTTGTGCTTATTCCTTTTGCTGGTGGTGGATTGGATTCCTCAGTGGTGTTTGACATGAGCAGGTTTTTGTTTGATGAATCTTATGTTTGCATGCCAGGTTTCCCCATGTTTACAAATGAGTAACATCTCAACCTCTCTTTACCGTGGTCAGATATAAAAACAACTCACTAATGAGGGCCTCATTTTTCTTCATTCTCCTGTGTAGTTTACACGAGACCTTTTCTGTTCTTCTTTCCCATTTCCCAATTGACTCATTTTACTTGCACATCACAAAGCCCATGAAATATGAAAAATTATGCCTTTGGGTTTAAAGATTGATTATGGCTACTTTAGGAAAAATGTGTGTCTGTGTAGTACGATTCCTATATTCTAAGCAAAGTGACATGTTTAAAATAATTTCAATGAATGTCTGAACAAGGTGAAATTGCAAAATAAAAGTCAGAAATAAATGCAGAAACTATTTGAAGTATGCACTGAGACCACCTTGAACCAAAAAAGCCCTCCTGTAAATTCCCAAGATTTTCTATTTTCAGTATTCCTCAAGATTGAATTTTGTTAAAAACACCAGTTCAAAAAGAAACAAAAACAGAAATTGCTGGAGAAATTCAATAGGTCTGGCAGCATCTTTCAAGAGAAAGTAGAATGAACATTGTTGCCAGATGCTGATGGACATGCCGAGTTTCTTCGGCAATCTCTGCTTATGGTTCAGGTTTCCAGCCTCTGCAGTTTTCTCTTTATTTAACCAGTTTTAGTGCAGTCTTCTATGTTGATAAAGCTTTGTGTGAAAAGTTATATGCAGCTGTGGCAGAACATGTACAGGTGGCGGAAAAAAGATGCAGAAAATTTGCCATGTTACAAACCTTTTGCTCTTATTGAGGCCATGATAAAATCTTTAAACTATCAGCCAATAATATAAATGTATTACTGAGCCGTCCTCTGAACATCTAATTTATTTTCAAGTGATTTGGTGAACATTCCCTTTATATTGTTAGCCCCGCGTGCCACTTTAATTTAACTTGAGTCTTGGAGGTGATGTTCAAGCCTGATTATGGACTGGCCTGTATTTCTGAATTGCAACTTTTGTGTATTTTTTTTAAATAACATAAATGATTCATTATGTGTTACTGTTAGTATGTCAGTATTCCTTGAAGAGACATGCTCCTGATATCATCCTTGCATCATAGCATTTGACCTGAGGGCATGAAGATCTCATACTCCACCTAATCCACTTGAAGCATGAATGCTGTCCTGGAAGTATGTTCTTCTTATATGTACAGAGCTTAATATGAGCCCAAACACTTACTGACCAAAGGAATATAATTTTGTGCAAATAATATTGTAACAAATATCTGTTGGTTTCTTCAAAGCTATGATATCCACAGTCATTTTCTCCTGTTGTGGGAGATAATATAAGTTTTGTCAGATCAGGTAAGACATCCATGGTGCAGACAAATTCCCCCATGGTAGAAGCAATAATGGCAATAAAAGAATCCTGTATATTGGTGGTAGATATTTGGAAAGCTATTTGAGGACCAACCAGGCAATGGCTTTGCACAACAGAAAACTTTTACAAAGGAAATCTTCCTCATCCTTACAAAGCATCAGTTTTTGTGAGCACAGAAAACTTTACAGATTAGTGGATAGGATATTAACCTCTGATAAACTAACATAATTCATTTTTGATTATGATGTAAGTTCTGTTGAGATATAATAGATTTCTAAGATTGTATTAATTAAAAGAAAGAAAACAATAAGAAGGTTTTAAGTGCAGTTTTAAGCTCGAACATAGATCCAGTGCTGTGCAGTTCAGAAAGCTGTAAAGTCTACAACACTTCTCCTGACAGTTGATACATAAGGATTGAGTTTTCAGAAGACCATACAATATCTTTGTTCTTAAGAAAGGTACAGTTTTTAACTCACACTGACACAAAGTAAGGAACACAGAGTTTAAGTTGGTACAGTCCAACATCTTCAAGTCATAATCATGGATAGCAGAAATCTCATTGTGGACTGGGCATCCACAGACACACTCATTGAAATACAACTGTTCAAACAGCATTCACAATTCAATCTTACACATCAAACAGTAGATGATCACATGAAAAAAGCTTTTAAAATCTCTCTTGCCTTTGGCAAGGAAGGACTTTGCAGAATTAATATGTACAGTCTTTCGATAGATGATCAAAAAAATCCAGACAAGATTTGGAAATTCTCGATGACCACCCCCAGGTAAGAATTAATTTCGGCATTAATAGTTTATAACTCATGTTGTACAGACTGCATCCCCAAGAGTGGATTGATTAGTTGGTTGGAATAAGTTGAATCAAAGGGCATGAGACTGACATTTCTGAAGACGAATTGTCAAAGAAGCTCATGAAGTTCATCATTGCCTCTGCACAAAATAAAATCTTTCGGCAGCATCTTTTAGATAAGGAAAAGAGTCATTCCAGAGCTGCATTAATTGAGGATGGACTATATGAGCTGTCAGACCAATAATGTTTGCATGCTTTAGATGCAGCCAACATTCTCTATAGTGACCAAAATGCACCAACCTAAAATAACTGAAACAGACACAGTTATCAAAAACTATCTAGCTTTTCTTAACATCTGTAAAGCATGTGCCAAGGAACATTAAACATACATGTACAGGAACTCTGGTTCCAAAAGCCAAACAAGACATGAGAGTAAAAAACATGTGGCCTGCAAGATGATATAACACCACAACATTGGCAAAAGGGGAAAAGCTGCAAAGCTATACAAACACAAACATGTCCAGGAGATTCAGAGTCAACCAAATAGAAAGCAAATTTCAGAAGATGACCAAAGTTTCCATGTCATTAACTACATGCAACATGTTAATGGCATCACGTAACTAAAAGCTTTTCAACCTTCTGTAATATATATTCTTGAGAAAGCGGGAAGATGCACACTAAAAGCTAAACTGAAATGGGATCTAGTGCCAACCACCATATGTCCTGAAAGACATATACCTCAATAAGTGGTATTTCGGGTATAGTCTGCGAGAGACTATCTCACAGCGTAAAAAAGATCGCCAGTTCCACGGTATTGGCATTATTCCACTGCAGGGCCAATACCTTTTTAATTCCCAAAATCTTCTACGAGGTATCTACCAATGACCCAGCAGAAGCAAGCTTACAAGAATGGATAGACCGTGTTATAGCCACAATTCATGAGATTTAAGCCACAACCATACCGATAGAACGGAATCAGTCAATGATTTTAAACACACCCCGACAGATTTGATGCTATCGACAACCTTAAGGGTAATGCAGGATTGCATTGTCAGGATGATGTAACTGCATTTATTGACGTTCCAAGGAATTGCAGTGTGCACGTGCAAAAGTAGATTCGGTTGGAACTAAATGAAATGGAGCAAAATGATACAATTCAGAAGGTCAACAACACAGAGACTGGCCTGGCCCATGCTGTGCATGTTAAAGAAAGATAAATATATTGCTGAGATACAAGGTGTTTCAACCTTTCACTTGAAAATTGCCCACACAAACTGCAGAACTCAATCCTTAATTCTCGGAAGTAAGATTTTTATACAACGTAGATGTGAATATGGTTACTAGTTTTTCCATTTAGCAGAAGAATCCCAAGAGAACACTGCATTTAAGAGATAGTAGGAACTGCAGATGCTGGAGAATCCGAGACAACAAGGTGCAGGGCTGGATGAACACAGCAGGCCAAGCAGCATCATAGGAGCAGAGAGGCTGACGTTTCGGGCCGAGATCCTTCATCAGAAAAGGGGGAGGGGAAGGGGGTTTTTGAAATAAATAGGGAGAGAGTAGGAGGCGGATAGAAGAGGGATAGAGGAGAGGATAGGTGGAGAGGAAACAAACCGGTCGAAGAGGCGGGGATGGGGCCAGGAAAGGTGAGTGTAGGTAGGGAGTTAGGAAGGGGATAGGTCAGTCCAGGGAGGACGGACAGGTCAAGGGGGCGGGATGAGGTTGGTCGGGAGGAGATGGAGGTGCGGCTTGAGGTGGGAGGAGGGGATAGGTGGGAGGAAGAACAGGTTAGGGAGGCAGGGACGAGCTGGACTGGTTTTGGGATGCGGTGGGGGGAGGGGAGATTTTGAAACTTGTGAAATCCACATTGATACCATTGGGCTGCAGGGTTCCCAAGCGGAATATGAGTTGCTGTTCCTGCAACCTTCGGGTGGCATAGTTGTGGCACTTCCGTACCTACACCGGCCCTAAACCCCACCTCTTCCTCCGTTACATTGATGACTGTATCGGCGCCGCCTCGTGCTCCCA